AGCAGACGGGAATGGGCCCTCGGGGCGCGGCTCCCTCCTCGCCCCGGGCCTCCCGCTGCTCCCCCAGCCCCGGGGGTGCTGCAAACCGCAGAGGGGGCCGGGCACGCGGGAGGAAGGGCTGGGGCCCTCGGCTGGGAAAATTTCAGGACCCTGGACAGATTCACCGAACTGTTACAGAGCAGCTCGCCCACGCGTCCTACCCAACGCTGCTTTTCGCACTGGCCGCGGCGAGAGGACTGGTTTCCTCTCTTTGCTGTGTGAGATTATTTTAATGCCACCCGTCGTATTAAACCATTCCCTCAGATCTTCTCCTTAAAAAAAAAAAGTTTATCCATGTATAAAATGCCCCCCCCCCCTCCAGAGGACACTGAAAATATTAAGATGCACATAACGAACAAAGCGCACCAAAAGAAAAAGGAAATAAAAATATATTTACCATCATAAACATATAAACAAGGAATCTATACTCATAATTTCTGATCAGTTTCTTTTATAGTGATCAAAGATGACATTCTTAATTAAAAGAAAAAAAAGCAGACAAACTCCATGAAGGAACTGAGTTTAAGGGTAATTTAGAGTAAAGCATTCTACAGGGCTGTTGTAATTATCCACAAACCAATTGTTATAAACCCAGGAAATCCAGTTAAGGTTAAATTTAAACCAAAATATGTTGATCCCCACTACAGTCAGGTCTCCCAAACAACCTGAATTCCACTCTGTAGTGACTCCCAGAGGGCACATACATGAAAATAAAGTCTTTATACGCAATTTAACATAATTTGGGTCCCCAAACACTAAAACGCCTTATTAATTGTAGTTGCTGCTGCTGTTATTAAAATGTAGAATTAAGCTTGAAGGAACATTTTTTAGCTATGAAGAAAAATTGGAAAATGTGGATCTTTAATCCTTTATATTCCAAATATACCCCATGCCAAGGATCTCCAATGTGGTTTTGCTATACCCAGGGCAGTTATATGGGTGGTGTAACCCTGCAATCATCTGTCAAACCATGTGTGGGGTTTCTTTTAATTTTAACCTTTACAGTGAATTTCCCAGGTGCTTGGTTTTTGAATAATTGGCTGAGTGAAACAAGGTCCTTCTTGTAACTCAACAGCATATTTGCCATGCAATAACTTTTAAATATCATGTCTGATCGATTCCAAAATGTCGGGGAAATGTTCAAAGCATTAACCAACAGGAGAACCCTTTTGGAAATTTGAACAAACCCGATTTCCAGTAAAATCTCCATTTTACCATTCAGGATTGAGACTATGACTTCAGGATTTGGGTGCCAGAGCATTTCCTTTGCCTGCAGTGCCTCCAAATAAGCATGCTATTGCCTGGTTTTAATAGAAATCAGGCTGCTGGAAGCCTCTGATCCTTCCTCCTCTCCACTCTGACCACTTGGGTGGGCTTCTCATTCCCCTACTTCAGCCAGGCCCCACTCAGGCCATTTGTGTCTCTACTCTGACCAGTTCGAGTTCAGCTGGAACTCTCATCCCCACTCCAGCCAGCCCCCTTGTTGCCTCAGCAATATATCCATTTGGGCATTCAGGGAACAGAGATGGGGGGAAAAGGGCTGGACTGTAGTGGGGATCAAGGATCCAGCAGGGTGTATTGTTCAGTGTACACAAGCAACAATATGTAACTCTCTAGTATAATAGCCCAGTAATGTATTTTACCATAAATTAGGTATTCAACTGTCACTCCATGTTAATACTTCCCAGACAAAAGCTACATTATCTAAAATAAATTATACCATTTTCAACAGTATTAATTGAGAGTGAGAAAATTAGTCACATAGCTTTTTAAGGCCACTATGGGGACCACTGTGATCACCTAGTCTGATGTCATAGAAGCATAGCAGAGGAAGAAATCTCAAGAGGTCATCAAGTCCAGTTCCCTACCCTTCTGGCAAGACCAAGTACCATCTAGACCAGAGGCAGGCAACACATGGCCTGTAGGCCAGATCTGGCCCACCAAGCCTTTAGCTGTTGCCCATGTCTTGGAGCCTCAGCCTGCCACAGCCCAAGGCCACTTAAAGTGTCTGGGTGCTCCATGTATATCTCTGCACTGTACACCCAGGGTGGGGGGAAAGGGAGACTTCACATGCCTAAAATAAGTAAGTTGAAAAAAAGGTTAAAATATTAACAGCTTGTTCTCATTTAACCACATACATTTAACTGACTTTTTTCGCAAAAGGTGAAAGCAACAGGTATGCTTCAGGTACCGAAACAGCAGAAAATAATGTTACTACAAAGATACAAGCTGGTTTCCTTGCTGTTGTTTTGTTACTATATCCATCAAGAACAGGTGGACATAAAGACTTTGTCATCACACCATTCCAGAAACCCTCCTACATTAGCATGAATAGATTTTTTTTTGGCATATCAAGGAATCATGAGTGGTAGTATGCAGAGATTATGTCTGCAAGTTCTTATATAGAAGGTACATCATTGGCAAGGTAATTGGGTTGTCTAACACTTAGGATTATAGCATTTCCAGACAAATAAATACTGAGGATCATGCATATTTTATTTTATGTACATATAAAGATTCACAATGAAACCACAGCCTCACTGAAGTCAATGGCAAAACTCACATTGACTTCAAGGAGATCAGGGTTTCATCCTGTCTCCAAAGGGTCAAAGTCATATATAATCCATCACTAGCTGCACTGAGTCTCTCAGCATACACAACTCTAAATCACAAACAATCAGACTTTGGAAATATTTGACTTCATTAGTCACTCTCAGGAAAGCAAATACATTGAACATTAATTTACCGCATAGTTGATTCTTATGTGGAAAATGGCTCCAGGGGAACTGCTTTTGTAAGTGGCGGTGTTCTTTCCTTCAGTTTTCAATAAAGGCACAATTTCAGCTATTGTTTGAGGGGATTTTAAGGGGATTGAACTATAACTTATGTATTGAGTATCTATATATAATAAAACAATAAGCTATGTATCTATGCCAACAGCCCAAAAGCATTGTGGGATCAGAGAGAACTCAACCAATCAACACTCCTCCTCTACAGCTAATTTGCATTGGTACAGTTTCATTGCTTGTAGAGAGTCAGTGGTGTAAAGGAGACAGCACAGATGCTAGATTACTTGGTCCAGCTTTTATAGAGATCTTCAAAGACTGATTCGCCACCTGTACAATTCAGTACAAACTTCCCACTACAATTCCCACACCCATACAGATCAGCGATCATCCACACAACACCAGAACCAGCACACACAGTAATCCCAAACAAACACATAGATGTGTGTGTTGCAGAGAGGGGTTGTTTCACCATCCCCACAAATCAATTAAAATCTCTGCACACAATTCACATTTATTCACCCTCACTCATACTTACTTCTGAATCTGCTTACTTGATTTTCTTGCCCATTCCAAACAATCTGTAAGTAGAATTTGTTAAAAAAATCCAGCAATATTTAGTAATTTACATATTCAATTTAAGTGAAAAAGATACACTTAAATGAAAAATCTCCCCAGTCACTAATACAGCCTAATACATTTTTTTTACACTTTAAAACACCTGCATTACCTTTTCACTACTGGAGCTAGCTATTTATTTTTTGCTTTTCACTTACTTTGAACAATGAAATTGCAGTCACCAGTTCAACTTTCCAGTTCTCACCCATTAGTACAATGCTGCAGTATTTGTTTACAAACACTTCTGGGCAATGTTCTAATCCAGTGTTTCTCAACCTTTTTTTAAAAATAAAGTACCCCTGTTTAAAAAAAAAAGTACTTCCAGTACCTACAGTTTTCAGAAACACAACATTTTTTTCTACCATTGCAACACATTTGTTTAAACAACTTAATCATAGTTGGGCAGGCCATTAAATTTTTGGGTGTAAAAAGTACACAAATAATACAGCACTGTAAAACTTAACACAAAAATTCAGCTCACTCTAAATTTCAGTTGTGTTGATGTACTCCCCAGACTTCTCTCGAGTACCCCTGGTTAAGAAACACTGTTCTAATCCATGTGAAATCCTGTATTCTTAGAAATCTTAAAACAATTTGGCAAAACTGAGACAGACTGACAATTTCCTGAATGAACTTAATTGAATTAAATTACATTTTGCATAGCTGTGTGGCACAGCTATTGCCACTATTATCAGTCTCTCTGAAGAGAAAGCAAACTGGTGGTTTTGGGCAACCTGTCTGCTGGGAAATACACAGTGAGGGGAGAGAACTATGCAACCTGGGAATGTGTTGGTCAGAAGGGAGAGAGAAAGGCAATGGCTGGGAAACTGAAACCTGCATGGATGCACTTGCGAACCACTGAGGGGAAATACAGGTGCAGTTGTCCTGATCTATGAATAAAACATGTCTAATGATATAGATTCAGTTTGTTTTGTTCTGAATTTACATTTTGGTCTTAAGCCTTGTTCCTTTCAAAAGGCAGGCATGGTACTTGAGACACATAACCCCATCCTCTAAATTATTAGGATTCATTGAATAAGAATGCTATTTACACCATATCATTCAGAAAATACACAGTTCCTCAGCTATGTTCTTTATCATACTTTTTGTTTGTTTTCCAGTTGCCCAAGTTGTTCTGGGCATCTCAGAGGATGCAATTAAAACTAATGTGAAAATATTAAAATATGCCAAAAACTTTTGAAAGTTCCTCCCTGTTAAAAAAAACAAACAAAACAACTTAGCACCATTTGAGAAGGTGGGTGAACTGGAATGAACTGATACTACAACTCAATCTTTAATACAAGGGGGCCACATTCAGCAGGGTAGATAGCCACATGCCTGATTTTAAGCACAATAGATCCACTTGACATCACTGGAAAAAATAACAAAGGCTTAAAGATATGTTTGTTAGGCAGTGTCATACTTGTTCCATATATTACTGTTTGGAACTCTCTTGCATTGACAAGTGGATGGACATAAATAGGCCTTTTTATTCTGGTCTGCCAGTTTCCAGATCTGTATGGCTTTTTCTAAAGTTACTTCACATTTTTTTTAACACTGCAGTGCATCAAGTCTTCTCTACTCGGGGAATTTCTTAAGAGGCCAAAATTGCTATGTTGTCTCTTGTGCTGCAAGCCTCTAATATATTCCTTATTACTTTGTAAAGATTTTGTTTTTGCACTTGTGGAAGAAATCTCTTTCATCAGTCTCTTTCTTCCATCTGTGCAAGGACCCGATCAAAATCAGTGGTGTCCCCAAGAGAGAGCTGGAAATTATTAAAGATATCTAACTCCTCTGCACCAGAAACAGCTAATTATAAGTTAACTTCCCTGGTACTGTTCATTGTGTCTGCATCTACTGCAAATATATGCAAGTAGCTATTTGTGACTCTTGCACACTGTCCAAACCTTTTAGTGGTGCTTTCACGTAGATCTTTTCTGCCTTGGAACAGTGTGAAAATTCTGCCTGGTGGTCTCAAATCCACCCATTCTTGTTAGCCAGCAGTGGTGTATGGCAGTGAGAACTTAGATATAATCATTTATTAATTATTAGCATTATGTGACGAGACAACTGAAGCTTGCTGCAGTCTGCAGGTCCCTGATTTGTCCCTGCCATCCTGAGTATTATCCTTTCTGGATTCAAGCAATCATAGCTAAGGATGGCAAAATCACACAGTAGCTTTGAACAAGAATGCAAGATGCTAGACACAATTGGTGATTCCAAGAATCTAAGGCAAAACAATTCATCAGCAGTTCTGATGCAATTCCCTGGACTGGAAGTCTGTTGGAAACATAAGCAGAGGCTAAGGTAAGAAAAGAGAGGACCCCTGGCATCTGGGGGCAAATACTCCAGTAAGAAGCCCAGTCCACCCAAGTTGCTGAGATTTCTACAAGTACTGACCGTAGGCTCCACATTGGAGTGTCATCTGTCATATCAGCTGCAGTGCAGAAGGGGTTAAATTGAAAGCCCTCACTCTCTGCCTGACATCTGAGTTTTGAGAATGTTGCGGGAGGGAGGATGTCCCCTGCTTTACCCTTTGCCTGGTGTGAGAGGGGATGTCTCTCCTGAAACATCCAGCACCAGCTTTCCCATGAAGTACTAAAGTGAAATAGATGTGATTCGTGGCCATGTCACAGATTTGTGAATAGGACCAGGGACAACTGGCTAACACTAAAAGACACATTCTAAGTGAGCATTATTATGGGTCAGAGGAATGGTTGTAAGGCTGATTTTACTTATCTTTAGTTTTCCTTTGAGTAGCTTCATTTTCAAGATTCCCCTGTTGTTTTCTTAACAAAAAATGGCACAAGTGCAGTATGGAAACAGATATTGCCGTGCTAAAACTCTGTCTTGGGAATGCCATACAAATGCCTACAGGGATAGAAACCACTGACCTCTTCAGCACAGCAACAGCAGCACAGCTTTTAATACAGTCTCCAAACTGAGAAGGCAAGATGGTAAGCACCATGTTACAAGCAGATGCATAGCTTGTTTCGGGATTGTGACAACAATGAATTTCTTATGCCTCGAGGCATACATCAGGGAAAAGACAAGAGAGAGAAGCTAGGAGGAAAAGTTGTAAGAACATTTAACAGGACACTCACGTCAAGTGTCTGCTAGTGGCTAGATGTGGTGGTACTACCATCTTTGTCCTGTTCCTGGTATCTCATAGGTTACTGACCTTAGTAGGCAGGTCTTCAGTGACTCAGTCCTCCAGCTAAGTAATAAAAAAAAATGGATGCATCCCTTCTAGGGTAGCAAAAATCTAACAAAGCTATCTGTCCTCATCAGAGTCTTCAGTCTTGTCTCTGGGCCCTTTAAATCCTACTCTTTAATGGGGTTCTAAATGAGTCTCTTTGCCTTATGGGCCACTTAGGCTATGTTTAGACTACGTTCTATTTTTGAAAGAGGATATTCCTCTTTCCAATCTCACTTTCCAAAGAGGATCTTTCAAAAGTGAAAGTCTGGACTCAGGGGAGAAGGGGAGAGGAGGAGGGGTTCGGAAAAAAACGCTTTTTTGAAAAAAACTGCTCTTCCTTAAAAAATGAGGTTCACGCGGGTTTTTTTTTAAATGTTTTTTTTTCAAAAAAACCTCATCCAGACTACTTTCACCAGATCCTCTTTCGAAAGTGAGATCAGAAAATATGCAAATTCTGCAGGAATTTGCATATCCTCTTTCAAAAAAACCCGTAGTTTTGATGTACCCTTAGCTGGTAGGGGAACCCAGACCCACCTACTACTCCAGGCCCAAATCCAGGCATCCTGTAAAAAGCAACCACATAATGCTGCCTCCAGGTTACTATAGCTATACTCTGGGGCCTTTCCCCACAGGGCCCTTTTCACTTCACCCTGACCTTAATATGGGTTCCATTCTCAGATACTCTTCCATCTCGCTGGATGTCAATGACACCTGATCTCACCTTCTGGTTCTCCTTCAAGCACCAGTGATTAGCAAGGAGGCCTCAGCTCTGTACCTCTGGTCCCAGCCAGGAATTGACCTGCTCCTTTTATCTGAGCTTGCTGAGCTCTGATTGGTTGCTTCTAGGCAGCCTCTCTAGGCAGGCCTGGAGGATCCACCTTCATTGCTTCTTTACTGGGGCAAGTATGGTAGGATTGTGGGGGGCCTTGATCGTTGTGGTCTTCAGCTTTATGGCATTAGAAGAAAACGTTGCCAGGAGCCACTTTGGAAGGGTTCATTTGTCCAGCCATCCCAGCACTGCTTCCATTCTGTAATCCTCAAGGACTTCTGCGATCAGCATTTGGCTCAAGGCTAGACCCAGCCTAGGTAAGTGTTGAAACCATGCATGTGCTCTTCATCAAAGAGTAAACTAATCAGTGAACTGGAAAGGTCAGTTAAGAATACAAACTGGAATCATACTAATTATACAATGGCGTATTGTCACAGGGTGGTCTGCCCCTATAAGGGCCTGTGGGATTGGGGAGCAGCCAGCCCTGTTCTAGAGAGGAATCCACAAGCAGCT